CCGAAAAGATTCTTTTGAAACTGATGTCAAAGAGTGTACTGCCTATATTCTCTTCCAAAAGACTTATTGTCTCAGGCCTAATCTTTAGGTCTTTGATCCATTTTGAGTTTATTTTGGTGTGTGGTGAAAAAGAATGGTCAATTTTCAATCTTTTGCATGTGGCTGTCCAGTTTTCCCAGCACCACATGTTGAAGAGACTTTCTTTTCTCCATTGTAGGCCCTCTGCTCCTTTGTCGAAGATTAGCTGTCCATAGATGTGTGGTTTTATCTCTGGGCTTTCAATTCTGTTCCATTGATCTGTGGACCTGTTTTTGTACCAGTACCATGCTGTTTTGATCACTGTAGCTTTGTAGTATGTTTTGAAATCGGGGATTGTGATTCCGCCGGCTTTGTTTTTGCTCCAATCTTCCTCTTTTTGTATGTAGGTCGCCACCACAACATGGCCACTGACAGATGAATGACGTAAGTCTGTGCCCAGGGACCAAACCCTGGCCACCAAAGATGAGCACATGGAACTTAACCACTAGGCCACCAGGGCTGACCTCCCCTCTTCCTTCTTTACTTCTCTCCATGGCACATCTCCATCTAACATTTCACTTCTTTACCTTACTTATTGTATTTCTTTGCCACTAGATTGTAGGGTCCACAAGAACAGGGGTTTTGACTGCTTGTTTTCTGCTGAATCCCCAGTGCTTAGAGGCAGGCCTCACTCCCAGGAAACACTTAGCATGTATTTGTGGAATGAATGACTTCTAATAGGCGGTTGTCTTCTTCCTCTTGACTACTTTTTCTGACTTTTTATGGAACTGTTGTCTTAATTTCTATGTGTCGTTTGTCCATAGAGCTAGTAGGGCATAGTGGTAAAACCAGTGGACAGCCAAGTGCAACTCAAGCTTGCCATTTGGCTCTCTCATTCACAGGCTGTGTGACTTGGGATGAGTGGCTTAGCCTCTCTGAATTTTCATTTCTTTGCTTATAAAATGGAGAGAGCTGCCCTGTTTATCACTCAGGGTTGCTGTGAAAGTTCAGTGGAATAATGTATGAAGGGCACTCCGGGATAGGATGTGGCTTTCCTTTATCACGGTGTCTGGCCCTGACTCAGTGCCGGAGCTTTCCATGTATGACTGCCTCATTTCATTCTTCCATCAAATCACTAAGATATGAATTCTTCCTACTGAACTCATTTTATAGATGGGAAAACCGAGGGGCACCAGAAGTTAAGTGAATTCCCCAAGAGTGCATCGACAATAGAACCGGGCTTTGAAGCCAAGCATTTTTATTCCATGGCCTGAGTTTTTCACCATTATGTCCCACTGGCACAAAATAAATGTTTTAATGACTGCATGGAATAATGAAAAGGATTTGACGTGAGGAACCACGTTTGTCTCCAGATGATGTTTTCTCAACTGCTGGTTAATGGAGCGTTTCCCTGATGTTATTTTTTCCCATCTTCAACTGAAACAGGCAGAAATTCCTGTCTTCCAAAAGAAAAAGGTATTGTCCAGCATTCCTCTATCTTTCCTTCCTCCCCTGAGGAATGAAACTCTATCGTGTGTCCCCTGAGATTTTTCCTGTGCAGTCTAACCAAGTCCAGATGGTTTTCTGAAGTTCAGACATCATACTTAGTAAAGTATTTGTAGTTATCTGCTGAAACACATTCTGGACTAAATTGCAAACACCCACTCCCCAAATAATTTATTCTCTCTCTGCTCTTCTGCTGCGTTTGTGTTATGGCCTTTCTGTGCTAATGAATTTGTAAATGTCGTTTAATTACTGTTTACTGAAAAATAGCTGCACACAGATCAGTCTCAGTGGGAGACTTAGCCAAAATGTGAGGCAATTTGTTTCTAGTGCAAAAACAGCTAATAAATGAGAAGAGCTTTTTAAACATTGGGAAATGAACTTAAGTTTGGTTTTGAAGAAACAGTGCTTTATATATCCAGGGAAATAAATTATTCTTGAAGAGAGTAGATTTAAATATCAAAATGGTGTTTTTTTCCCCAGGCCAGGCACACGGTGATTTGCACAGAACCAAAAGTGTGATAACGGTGATTTGATTGAACCCACACCAAAGAGCTGTACGCTAAAGGACTCCCCAAGGAAAACTCAAAATTAATGTAAATTCCATAAAATGTTTTGGAGCTCTGTAAACCCATGTATTATGTATTACTTCATGTTTCTGAATTCTTGCCTCAGGCAAATTGCCAAGTTTGCAACTAAATGACAGTTTTAAAATTCTAATACAAACCAGCCTCTCTAACTTTGCTTTTTTCCCTCCAGAAAAAAAAAGACACAAGAGGGAGGTGAAAGTTATTGTACGGTTCAGTTTATAAATTCTGTTTGTGCTCCAACTGGAGTTGTGGTTGAATTTTGCTCTTGCATAAAATGGTGTTTGCCTGATTCCGCATGAAGAGGGACCCTGACAACAGGGTCCTTCCTTCAGCTGCTGGTCCTGCGACCAGGGAGGGGCTCTGTTCCCCCTGCCCTGCAGGGTGCCTGCCGGGGAGCGAGCAGGGAGCGAGCAGTGAGCCAGTTCTACCTCCAGTTCTAGCCCAGCTAGTGCAGAACTCAGAAAATAAAATTGATCAACTTGGCGATTAATAAGGATTGCTTGTCATTTCCTAAACTGTGGATCTGATGCAAGAAGTTTGAGCAATGCAAACACTGCCCTCTAGGAATTTATTTTCAGTGGAGGCAACAGAGAGGAATATATGAACTTCGGTACCGCGACCCCAAGTGTAGGGTTGGGGGAAATCAGGTGAAGGGGGTCAAAAGGTACAAACTTCTAGTTAGAAGATAAATAAGTTCTGGGATGTCATGTACAGCATGGTGACCGCAGTTATCAATACTGTATTGTATATTTGAAAGTTGCTAAGAGAGTAGATCTTAAAAGTTATCATCACAAGAAAAAAAATTTGTAACGGCAAGGTGATGGGTATTAACCAGACTTATCGTGGTGATCATTTCGCAGTATGTACCTATAGCGGGTCATTATGTTGTACACCTGAAACTGATACAATGTTATATGTCAGTTATAGCTCAATAAAACTGGGGGGGGAAAGAGATCCCAATACCCAGTCTTAACTCCCAGATAGCATTAGTGTGTCAAATTGTGTTCTGAAAGCCAGGGCCTCATCTTTGTGGAGAAAGACCCCTTTTCCAAGGAGATTATTCCATATTTCCATGTTGTAATTATTTATCTGTCGTACATCAACTCACCAAGTGTTATTTGTGGTGGGCCTGAGAGACTAACCCCAATGGAGACTTTGTCTCAAAAGGCAAACCATGTAGTGGTAGAGAGACAGACATAAGCAATTAAACACCACAAAGTATAAAATCTCAAAGGAAATTGGAAATCACAATTTAAATGGAGATGTGTTATCTTTCTTGTGTTCTATAATTTTCCAAGCCTTCAGGATTTTTTCCAATATAAGAAAAATGCAAAATATCAGTGCAGAGCCCCTTTATGAGAAGAGGTTTATCTTGAGCACACATAAATCACAGGAGTTTGGAAATAGGAACTAAGCTCAGATATCACCTCCTCCAAGATGGCTTCCCTGATAGCACCCATGCCCTATTTGACTTGAGTGTTCTTTCTATGTACTCTCACTGCACCTTGTCCATTCCCAGTCTATTGTTTGCCCCCCCTCCCCCGCTGCCAACACCTCTATATACACAACTAGGTGCCCCTTAAGGAGGGGACATGTCTTATTCTTCTTTGCATCCACAGTGCCAGAAACATGTCTAGCATATGGCACTCAATAAATATTGACTAGCTATGTGAATGGGTAGCTGGTAATTACAGGTATTTTCCCATCTAATAAAAGTTGCCTTTATTCTCTACACCATATTAGGTTTAAAAATAAGTAACAACAGGGGCTGGCCCCGTGGCCAAGTGGTTAAGTTCGCACGCTCTGCTGCAGGCGGCCCAGTGTTTTGTTGGTTCGAATCCTGGGCGTGGACATGGCACTGCTCATCAAACCACGCTGAGGTGGCGTCCCACATGCCACAGCTAGAAGGACCCACAATGAAGAATATACAACTATGTACCGGGGGGCTTTGGGGAGAAAAAGGAAAAAAAATAAAATCTTTAAAAAAAAAAAAAGTAACAACAAGGTACATATTCTTGTTTTTTAAATGTAAATGTATTAAAACATATATTAATAGCATATTTAGATAAGTATGCGTGCACAAAATCTGGAAGGACAGACACCAAAACGCCAGCAGCGGTTCTCTCTTAAGTACTAAGATTTGAAATGATGCTGACGTTTTCTTTAGGCATCACTGTGTTGTTTTACTATTTCACTATGGATGTGTGTTACTGTTATGATAAGAAAGAAAATACAAAGTTATTTGTATTTTAAAAAGGGAAGTTTGGCCTATTCCATAGCCACAATCATAAGACATAAACAACTCTATGAAGCGTCATCTTTACCTTCGAAACCCGGTGTTGACAGTGATTGGACTTTGTGGATTGAAATAACTGACCTAGCTTGGCAGCATTCAATGGTATACCCACGTCTGTGTTTATGAGATTCAGAAGATACCTAAGCAGCCCTTAACTTGTAAATATTCTAGCAAGAAAACATGGTAAATTATTTCTTTTGCTCTCTCTCTTCCTCCCCTTTAATTCTCCCTGCTAATACTTAGATTGCGTGTTAGAATCGCAGTCTTGTTAAAGCCAAGCTCAACCTCTTGCAAATAGATAAGGCAGAACTAAGTAACCAATTCTCTCTCTTTCATTATGAATCCCTTATTTCTGAGTTGGCTCTGGATAATAGAAATATCAGTTTCCTGGCCAGTGCTATTTCTGCTCTGCATCTTCTGCCCGCCTGTCCTTCTATTATTTTGTTTGGCTGACCACAATGTTGCAAAACCTAGACAATGTTATTGGACTAGAATAGAGTTTCTTCTTTTATCCCAAAGGAGCAATCAGAAATTATAAAATGTGCCCCCGAAGAATAGATCTAAAAATTATATATATTCTTTTCTATCTGCAGCTGAATTCTTGCTGCCAGGATGGGGAAACAGAACAGCAAGCTGCGCCCGGAGGTCATGCAGGACTTGCTGGAAAGCACAGACTTTACAGAGCATGAGATCCAGGAATGGTATAAAGGCTTCTTGAGAGACTGCCCCAGTGGACACTTGTCAATGGAAGAGTTTAAGAAAATTTATGGGAACTTTTTCCCTTACGGGGATGCTTCCAAGTTTGCAGAGCATGTCTTCCGCACCTTTGATGCCAACGGAGATGGGACAATAGACTTTAGAGAATTCATCATAGCCCTGAGTGTAACATCGAGGGGGAAGCTGGAGCAGAAGCTGAAATGGGCCTTCAGCATGTATGACCTGGACGGAAATGGCTACATCAGCAAGGCAGAAATGCTAGAGATTGTGCAGGTACGTAGCCCTTGCCCTTGACAAGGAGAAGAGCGTGGATCACAAGTAAGAATGGGAAGGTCCTCAGTGTGGCTCAGTGTGGCAGAGGTTGCAAACTGGTGGCCCATCGGGGCATTGATTTGGCCTACCCAGTATTTTTGAAAATGTTGAACCCATTTTACAAAACAGGGAGATTGCACATAAAACTGTAGATTGGTTGGCATCTCTTGAAAACTCAGAAGATCTAGCAATAGTGGCCCCTGTTCTTGCCTGACCTAAGTCACCTGGTGCTTTGTGGTGACCCTCACCCTAAAAATGGAAATGCACTCTTCAGCTGATCATGCTAACTATGGCCACTTCATCCACTCATTGCAATCACCTTCAGCCTTTGGGGTTATATCACCTGGAGTGGTATTTAATGATGAAACTCTGACCTGGCTTCAAGCTCTGTCACTTTCAGTCACTACCTCTATGACTTTGACCAAGTTAATTCACCTAAGTGAGCCTCAGTGTCCTCATCTGTAAAATGGAACTGCCATTTTAGGATTAGATGTGACTCTTCCTGTTCAATTCTTAGCATAGTCCCAGTCATGTAGAAAAGCTCATCATCATCACCATCATTAATTTACTTTATTAGACTCTTGAATAAAGGTAGGGCTCTCTGATCTAGGTTCTGTCTCATCAGAGATACAAACATTGTAGAATTGAGGCATCCATCATTTTAATAGGAGGCACTCCATTTTCTTTCCCCAAATCACTCACCCAGAGTAAACATCCTGAACAGAACAGGAGAGGGATCCTACTGTTGGCCACATTTTCCTTGTGGGACCCCAGGGGAAGGTGGGGAAGGGGCATAAGGAGCTATGGCCACGGCAATGACAGCTTGGTCAGCAGTGAGTGGGACCCAGAGACAAACCTGAGGAGACTGAGACACAGCTTGGGAAAGGATCCGGAGAGCCTCAGCTGCAGGCAGTAGGAAGGCCGAGGTGGGTGGCCAGCACCACGGGGACTGGTAGTCGCTCACCATCTTGGCAGGTGAGTGGGGCACAATAGGGAGGCATCTGGAAGCAGACAGCAGATGCAAGAGAGTGGGCATTTGGTTTCCTTGGGACTCATCTCAGAGGGCAATACTCATGCCAGGACATCTGTGTTCAGAGGTAGAGCTGCAGCCCCTGGGAGAACATGGCGGGGGAGGGGGCTTGCTGGAAGGGTGGGAAGGGGTGTAACACAAGGAGACGGGAAGGACTCAGCTGCTGGCCAGGATAAGGGTGGAGGTGTAGAGGCACTTACTTTCAAGGAACCAAGGAGACCTGGTTACAGAAACTGAGGTCAGAGCCCAAAGGAGACCCACAAAACTCACTTGTAGCTGAGCCTTTTAGCTATGGCCTGGGGTCTGCTCCTGGGCCAATGGGACTGAACCCACGCGGGCAGTTAGAGTGACACCTGCACACGTTGCAGGGATGTAGGAGCAGGAATCCAAATGACGTCTCTGTATCAGGAAACTCTCCAAGATCTGCCAACTAGGTCGCCTTTCTGCTTGGGCCTCCGCTGGCTTTTCCTTCACCCAGAGTGGTAACAGTCTGAATAAGCTGTGTTAAATTTAATCCCTCAGAGACGGGGATCTTCAACAAACGTAAAAGATTTCTCCCCTCCACCCAGGATAAATGTATGAAAAATAAAATGTCTACTGCTAAAGTGTGGGCAGTATAGAAAAATATAAAAGAAAACGAGAAAAATTCTCCATTACCCCACTCCACCCACAAAGAGAATCACTGCTCATAGTTTTCTAATATAGCCTTCTGATCCTATTTCCATGATAGATTTAAAAATTTCTAATTGATTTCAAAATGTGTACAAAATTTCATATCTTGCCATTTTCACCTAACATAACATTAGCATTTCTCATGTCATAAAATCTTTTAATGAAGATATTTTAATGGCTATATAATAGTCATAGGATATAATTTACTTAATTTTCCCCTATTGTTGGATAGTTGGGTTGCTTCCAGCTTTCATTATTCTACATAATACTGTAACTTTTAAAAATAACAAATAATTCTTGTGCATGAAGCTTTTCCTGTATTTAGGACTATTCCCTTAGAATGGATTCCCAGAAGTGCCATTACTGGGCCAAAAGGAATGAGCTTTTATTTCTAAGGCCCTTGATACACTTTCCCAAATTGTTTTTCCAAAGGTATTCCTGAAGTGAGTGAAGGGTGCCCCATATCATTGCACTTTTCTGATTTTCCTTAATCTTTACTAATTAAACAAACATTAAAATTTAAAAGGTGATCTATTTTAAGTAGCTTTACTTTCTCCCTCCGTTTTACATGGGATTGCTGTGCTCCGCCCCTGAGCTGTCTCACCACAGTCAAGCAGTAAGTGCCTCCTCCTTTGGGAGAGAGAGAATTGCTTCCTGACTGACATCTAAGAAAAAACGTTCCTGTCCGGCACCGTGTTCTCTCCTGTTTAACCTTTTGCACAGTTCTGCTGGCTGCCCCTGGTCAATGATTTGGTGACCATTACAGATGAAGATGTTGACCCCCCAGGCAAGAAGGACCCTCCAGACCCCATGGGCTTATGGAAGTCAAACCGTTCACGCATTCATTCCGCACCTTTGGTTAAGCCCCTACTGAGTAGCTAGCCCTGGGAATAGGCAGGACAGGGAAGAAAACAGACTCTCTCCCTGTGCTGTGGAAGCCAGTGTGCGAGGGAGAGAGGGGACCTTGCAGAGAATGTGCAGAGGCGCTGGTTAGCGCCTGCTCGGCCCTCGCTGACTCACGCCACCTTCAATACGGAGTGTAAAGTGGTCCTACCATGGAAGGCACGTTCACCTGACAGGGCACTTTCTTCACTGTAAAGTGGCTCGGTCCGCTCACAGGACCACAGTAAGTTTCCAGGTCATACCTGGAAGGACATAGATTCCTTAATAAACACTTAGATACTCAGGGTTTTTAAGAAGCCTGCAAATGGAAGGCTCAAATTTCCTAAATTGTTTTCTATAGGACTGCACCCTGATGGTTAATACTCACAACCGTAGAAAGGAAATATCGCAGCACCCTGAGGCGACTTCCAAATTGCCAAGCAGATTACATTTGGAACCATTTTCCTATTAAGGGCTGTGTTATTCTATTCTGCCATTTTGCAAACTGACAGTTCATGTATTCTGTCTCATTCTTATGCTAATCGCCGGGATTCAATGATTCTGGATGAATTGGAATTTGCTGTAAGATATTACTGAACTTCCAATGCTATTTATTTCCTCCTCACCCCCTCCTTTGAAAGCCCACACTCCCGGCCTTATTCCTGTCCCAAGAAGCTGTATGACTTTGTGGGAATTCTCTTTTTTGGGTTCTATCTGGTCTGCACCATGTAGGAGAAGGTACATTTGCAGATGCTACGCGTACCTCAGAGGAGTCACTGTCTCTGAGGTTTCTGCTTTGTGCCTGGGTAAATATCTGTTAGAAAGTGAGGAGTGGAGGCAAGCTGTGGGCCAGCAAACTCATACACAAGCTAAGGTTCTATTTGTTAAAGTGAGTAAAACCTGAAGCTTGGTTACAAGTGTCAATATATAAATTGTTGGCTAAACTTTGTTCTTCCAAAACTCAGAAATTCAAATGATTTAATAAAGTGCAAACTTCTGGTGTCCACCTGCAAACACTAATAACTGGTCACAGTGAAAACTGAAGTCCGAAGAAGTTGGTAATTAGGTGACAATGAATGGAGTGTAGGATTTTATAAGTTTTCTAGTTTTTTTTCCTTGATGTTGCTTGCTGTAGGTTAGGTTTGGTGTCCACAGAATACTGCTTATGGTGACAAGCTGGAATCCTTTTGTATTTCCTGACGTTGGCAGGGAGGACTCTACTGTGAACTCTGTAATACTGAAATACACCATGTTAGTTTCCTCTTGCTGCTATAACAAATTCCCATAAACTTAGTCACTTAAAATGATACAAAGTTATTATCTTACAGTTCTGGATGTCAGAGGTCTGAGTTTAATTTCACTGGGCTAAAATCAAGGTGTCCACAGGTTGCATTCCTTCTGGAGGTTTTGGGGGGGAAATTTGTTTCCTTGCCTTTCCCAGCTTCTGGAACATTGCTTGACTTATGGCCCTCTTCATCCGTTCTCAAAGCCAGCAACAGTGGGTTGATTGAGTCCTTCTTGACGCTATTGTTCCTCTGGGTATCTCACTCTGCTTTTCTCTTCCACTCGTAAAGACCCTTGTGACTCCATTGGAACCGCTGGATAATCCAGGACAATCCCCACATTTCAGGATCCTTAACTTAATCACGTCTGCAAAGGCCCGTATTCCATTTAAGGTGACATCTGCACAGGCTCCTGGAATTAGGACATGCACATCTTTGGGGGACCATTGTTCAGTCTACCACATATGCCAAAATGCAGTTATGTTCCTTTTCTAAAAAATAATTTTGTCCTGTATCAACATCTGGATGAACAAGGAAAACCATATGCAGATTTATTTTTAGAGCCTTAAACAAACATTTTCACATTAGTGTGCTTGCTTTTTTTTAAGTGATAAATTTAGGAACATGATTTAGGCCCAATATTTTATTATTGCATCAAAACTGCCTCTCAGCAGTCTTAAGCCAGATAACAATTCTGATTTTTCCCCACGTTACAACAGATCCTGTCCTCTGGATGGGGGCTAGGGTCAGCCCACCACTGTAAGAGAAAGGAAAATCCTTCTTGCCCTACACAGTTCCCCATCCCTCAGCCCAGCTGCAGGCAGGTCTGAACACCCACACCCAGCACAGCACAGGCCATCTGAGGAAGGGGCCAAGCAAGCACATGAGTGACATTGCCAATTGGACCTTGAATGCTTGGATGCTCTCTGAGATCTTGGGGGTGAGGGAACACTGAACTTAGGGACCCATTAACAGGACCACAGCCCTCCCAGGGAGAGAATGTAGGAAGAACGTGGAGTTAAACTGTCCCCCGTTTCTGTTCTCAGAAAGTAACTAGGACCCTTGAAATAAGAAGTTTTTAACTACAGGACTGT